CCCCCTGCGGGGGAGGCCGGCCCGCGCGCGGGTAGTGCCACCGGATTGCGGAGCTTTGGCCGGCGGCGCTGCGAAACGGCCGCGTCCCGCCCCAGTCCCACGGGGCCGGGCCGAGGAGGGCCAGAGCCATGCCGGAGGCTCATCCCGTCGTGAAGAGCCGGCCCCGCCCCCCCCCGGCCCCCGGTGGCGAGCGGGCTCCCGACCCGGCCCCAATCTCTTGGCGGGCGGCGGCCTGGCGGGGGGGAAAAAAAAAAAGGCAACCCGGCGCCTGGGGGCCTCGCACCCCCTCGTGGGCCCGGCCTTCCCGGATGGCACACCCACACACACCTCTCGGGGAAATGCCGGGCAGACACGCCGGGCCGAAGGTGGCCCCTCCGGACGCGCGGCGAAGAGGCGGAGGAATGCCCGGGGAGGGGCGTACGCCGGCCGCGCGGCACCGACGACAGCGACCGGGCGCGGGGCCTTCCAGCATATGCATACATTGGCACCATAATCAGCCGCCACCGGATGCGGGGATCGGCTCGGTGCTCGGCCAAACTGCGCCCTGTGCTGGTGTGGCCGAGCGGGACGGGGGGAAATCCGCCGGTGCGCAGAATGGAACGGTGTTTCCCCGGGTCCGCTTCTGCGCGGCGAGCTGCATATCGCCCCGGGGCTTTGCTTAACGGAGGCTCCCTGGTCAGTTAATTCTGGCCGAGTGTCCGCCCTCCGAGCCGCGAGTCCTCGCCCATCGGGCCCCCTCGGTTCCGCTGTGGGACCCAGGCGGGGGCGGCCCCCAGCAGGCAAGGATCCCTCGAGCTGTGGTGCCGGAGGCTCGGAAGGGGGGGGGGGGGCGGTGCCGGGGCTCGGACAATAGGCCGAGGAAAAGACAATGGCCCATTTCCGGTGGCAGTATTTCGAGATCCCGCCCCGGCAGCCTCCTTGCCCCTGTGTCTGGCCGCCGCTCCCGTCGTCGCACCCTGCGGAGGGCACCTGGCCTCTTCCTGCCACAGGGGCGGGAAGGGGCCCGGCGCGAGATTTCGAATTCCTCCCCTCCGGTCCGTGCCCGGATGTTGTCGGGGGGCTGGGGGCTGGGGGGGGGG